TTTTTATTGGCTCTCTCTAGCTCACGCCTCATTTCCTGGAGCTGGCAAGTGTCTTCTTCATAGAAAGTGTCTCGCATCTCGTCCATCTCGGCCCTCATTTCTTCAATCTCACACTAGCAGAATCATAGCAGACAGAAGATGTGATTGCTACATGTGTCACACTGACAGCAGGAGGTGTATATACTTCGAAAACAGGAGATTTTATCGGTTCAGAGTCTGACTAGTAGCTCCAGATGTATTACAGATTTTCAGTTTCAGGTTAAAATATACAACGTGACTTAAAAAAAAAAATCATTTTCCAGATGTGAGTCTGATCATCTTTATTACTCCACAGTTCATTTCAGGGATATATAAATGCAACATTGCAAACATATGAATTCCAGCTGTGGCATTGTGGGTAGTCCCTTCTAAACACAAGATATAATCGATCCTTATTAATCAATAGCATCAGGATCGACATCCAGTTACAATAGCGAATGCGTTTTCACTGAAGACAGAGAGGCTGTCCTACAAACATAATCGACCCCATTTGCTATCTGTCATTTCATGACAATTAAGACGTTTCTGAATTGTGTCATTCTAATATGATTTCACCTCTTTAGCCTTGGCCTACATTTCAGGTTAGGTGAGATTATGTATTTTAAGTATTTTTTATTTTATTTAAAAAAATGCTTTTTGTTAAAGTCTATCAAACCTTGAGATCTTCGTTTTCCTCCAGCAGCCTGTCCATCTCCTCCTCCAGGGCCTGGTCCTGCTGTGTCACGGACCCCGCCTCTGTCGCCTCTGCAGCCCGCTCCGGCTCTTCCACGGCGGTCTCCGACGTCCCAGTGCTGTCCGCTTTGGCTTGCATCTTGGCTCCCCTCCTCTTGAGTCTCTTCTGCAAGTGGAAGTGAATCAGCTCAGCCTGTAAGCATCGCCCTTTCCACAGACCCAAACCGAGGCCCGCTCCACAGGCCGCGAACACGTCGGTTCTCTTCCCGTGTCCGCTTCTCTCAGCTGGCTTCCTCTCCTTTTCTCTCAGCGAATAAGCTCTACCGGAAAACAAAGGCTGTGTGGAGTCACCTTTAAAGCGGGATAAGGCAGAGCCTAGAGTCGGTACTGGGAAATCTGCCGGATCTTCCTCGACAGCATCCGCCCTGTTTGGTCTGACAAGCTCAGCTTCAGCACCATCCGGGTGAACAGCTGCGCCTCCGCGGCTCTCGGGCTCCCTCTCCCTTCTGTCTGCGGTGCTCAGGCTGTCCCTCAACCCAAGATCCCCGCTTCTCCGTGCACGATCAGGAGGCCTGGAGCTGCCCGGGTGTCTGGGAACAATCTTTAATGCCCCCTCCTGGGCTGTAGCCGGCGAGGGAGCCCGGTGCTGCCTCCTCCTCCTGCCTGCGTTGTTGTCTGCCGGTGCTGTGGAAGAAGGATCTGCAGCGCCGCTCACTGTCGGCTTCATTTTTT